CACCCTGGTTGATAAGGTTTATGTGTTTGAGCAAGAGAACAGAAAGGAAGAAGAAATACAAAGGAGTTTATGTTTAAACCAGGAAACCATTAATACTACCCTAAAATCCAAATTCATGTTTCCTATACACTTGCTCAAGAAGCTCTGGTAGCATAGTGGCTACAAATTGGGCTGCTAATCTCAAGGTCAGCAGTTCAAAACTGGGAGAAAGATGAGGCTTTCTGCTCCTGTCAAGCTTTACGCCTCGAAAACTCTATGCAGGGTCGCTATGAGTCACAACCACGGCACATCATCGTCAACACCAATACCACCAACACCAAATACTTGCTCAGGTCATGCAGGTAAATGCACACAATGATGAACACAGAAAAGCCACATAATATCTATGAATATATACTATTTGCTAGACTGATGAGGACAGATTTCATTATTATTCTTGGGTTTTACATACTTAAAAAAAATTAATAGAGGTCTAACATACAACCTTCACTTTGTAAACCAATACCAGGACTCCAAAGCCCTGAGTAATTTTGGGGTAGGGGATTAGTTCTGTCTCTGAAGAGTCCCTTCAGAAAACAGCGGTGAGTAAGAAACATAATAATAACTGACTGAGAACAACTGTTTCTTTCAATTCAAATGTAGACTCTTCAGGGAAAACTCTCATCTTTATAACTCTATTAGGCAAACACTAAAAACTGCCTTCTGCCCTTTATGCTGATAATGTCAGGGAAGAAAGAGGCTGATGTAATACTGAAGATGGAGCTAGTATCTAGGGCCTCATTATCCATTACGGGAAAGCTGTTCCCTCTACTTGTACTGTAGCTATGGCTAAGCAGAAGATTGCAGGGGGAGATCAGATTCGGAATTATCTTCATGTGTGAATGGACTAGAACTAGACTGGAAAGTAGTTTAAATTTGAAGGAGAAACCTGAAAGCCGGAATGAACTTAAATGACTTTTAGGAAACAGAGCCATACTGTGTTTTGAGATAATATTCAATATTTATCTGGAGTGTCTTATTTTATAATGGGGCAAAATCTAGAATTTCCTGAGGCAAGGAGATTGTAATCATCTGAAAAACATTGAGTGGCACATTGGTTTAATTATCAAGAATGATACGTAGAATCAGCTACTTATTCCTACCCAGCAATAGAAGCATTATCAGGGAAATTATACTTAGAGGTCAGTAAACTAAATGACAAGAAGACAGTTGGTGCCAATAGTGTAAATTCCAAGAGGCACCAGGCCAATGTTTCTGGTGCCAAGAAGGTTGCACAGACATAAATCCAGCAGTGCCACTGATGTAATTATGGGCTTAGACCAATTCCTTAGGCTAGGCCAAAAGATGAACCACAGCCCTTAAGGGAACAAAGAGAATATGAATGTAATTAGAAGATAAAAACTGAGGGAAGATATTTTACTTTAAAAAAAAATGGATATATATCTATATACACATTCACAAACACATATATAAATAAATAATAAACCCAACCTAAAACTCTAAATAAAATTCAGTGTCTGAATAGGGACTTTCAGGGTCCTCAAACATGCATAAAACAGGACCCAGGGAGGAAAGGGCCACACACATCTTTACAAGCTCAGTTTCAGAGCTGAGCTGCATGTGCAGACTGGAGTCTGATTCTCTCCCAAGGGCCTGGGGCCTGAAGGAGCCCCGAGCTCCATGTGACTTGTGAGTACCCAGAACAAGGATTTCAGGAGGGAATTTCACAAGCACAGAACATTTTTTTTTACTCTACTTTCTAGTTTTTCTCTCCCTCTGCTATTGTTTAATTCTGTTGTTCAACTTTTTGAGGAATGGTGGGAGGTACTGAGTTTAGCAATGCTCTAAGAATGAGTCTCAGCTGCAAAGATTGTTATGAGGAAAAGTGGCCTACCACATCTTTCAAACCACTTATGGTTCTCTGTAGCACAAACCAAGACAGAAACATGAGGGAGACAGGCAGAAAGTCTTATTCCTCTTTGTATGTTCAGCATCTATGCCTGGCATAGATGTGCAGCAGGTGCTTAAGAGCAATGGAACTGAACTGATCATTTAAGTTGGAGGAGGCTTCGTGCCCTAATAGGAGCCAACAGTAATGCCATTTCTGTGCCTTGGAGCAATCTTCTGTTGATCCTTATGACCCCAATTAGTAAAAATGAGTAAATGAGCAAAATAGCATAAAATTATCCTGATGGAAGAATGTCAGAGCTGAATATTACGAAGACTCTATCAAGAGATTAACACAGAACCATTACGAGCCTCCACAAAAGCAGATTTTAAAAGGCATGCAGATACTAAAGTGCAAATGAGAACGTCAAGATGAAATTATTTCTAACTCATTCATGATTTTAAGTAAAGTGCTTTATTTATTATTAATATTAAACATCTGTACAATGTATTGGCCAAGGACTTTAAAATAATATTATGTTCTTAATACATGCCATGGAAAAGAAAAAGAAATTGTATAACTGAAATAATTGGATTCCTGAGAACAATAAGCAAGTCTTAGTTCTCTGAGTATGATATTTTGTAAGCTGAAATGATGCTTATAAAGAATACTTACTGAGTATGGTTTCAATTATATTTCAGAAAGAATATGTCAACTGAAATTTACAAAATATCTATAAGGTATGGCTTCCTAGTTTTGGGAAAACTATATATATATGTTGTTTTTGTTAAGTGCCATTGAGCTGACTCAGACTCATAGTGACCCTGTGTAGGGTTTCTGAGGGGCAGCTGATGATATATTGAAAGTTTTTGATATTTTAAAAACTGTTTTATATGCTTCCATTTAAAAGGTATTTATTAATAAAAGAAAGTTATGTTGTTGGTTTTTTTTATTTTAAGGAGTCCTGGTGTGGCACTGTAGGAAAAGCACTGGACCACAAGGTCAGTGTGAACCAAGAGGTCGGTGGTTCAAACTCTTCAGCCACTCCTAGGAAACGCTATACAAGGTTGCTATGAGTCAGAACCAACTAAATAGCACTAACAACAACAACAAATGGTTTTTATACCTATTTTTGTCAAACAGGACCTATTCACTTAAATATCACATATATATACACCTGTAGTCCTGGTGTAGTGCTGCAAGTTAATGCGCTGGACTGCAAGGTCGGTTGAACCGCAAGCTCAGTGGTTTAAGCTCACCAGCCGCTCCTCAGAAACCCTATACAGGGTCGCTATGGGTTGGAACTGACTCCACAGCACTTAGGGCATAGTATATTTAACAACAACATAGGATACTTAAGTGAATTTAAAAAGCACTTAAAGTGAATTCACTCTATATAGTTAGTTATCCATATATATAGGATGTTTAAGAGAATAAACCCTGCTTGACAAAGACAGGTATAAAAAGCATCACTTTCCTTTATTAATATATAGCTTTTAAAAGAATATGCTTTCATTGTATTAAAAATATTGTTAAAAAACAGATTCTAAAAGTTCTTAAAAAACCCTGGTTATGCTTCTTTTCCCAGGAAAAGATTTTGTTGTTGTTGTTAAGTGCCATCGAGTCAATTCTGACCCATAGCAACCCTATAGAGTTTCCAAGGAGCCGCTTGAACCAAGGTGAGCTTGAACCACTAACCTTGCAGTTCAAACGATGTTGCAGTCTGACGCATTAGCCCACAGTGCCACACCAGGACTCCAGGAAAAGACAGCATATGTTAAATGGCTATCCTGGGCCCAGTCTGACTGGCTGATAAAATGAACTAAATGGATGGCCAAGAGGAAAATCCTTAGGTTGTATAGTGACCATAAGGGAACAGACTTGGAGTAGTCATGAATATGCTTTAGATTTTGCAAAGATGTTTAAACAATTTAGAAGAAATGGGGAAGATACCATGACAAGAAAATTCAGGAAGAACTGGAGCTAAATATGCCATTTTATGGATTAGGCCTTGATAATTCAGCACAGATTTTAATTTAGGATATTGGCAATACTATAGCGGACGATGGACAGTATTGTCAATGTGGAAAATGATCTGAGTTAGTGCATCAATCACACCCTTCCCCAAAGGATATCCTATCAGTAGGATCAAAGATGTAAGTGTAGAAAACCAATCTGCTGTTGTTGAGCTGACTCCGACTTATTGTGACCCCATGTGTGTCAGAGTAGAACTGTATACCACAGAGTTTTCAATGGTTGATATTAGGGAAGTCAATTGTCACACTTCTTTGGCCTCAAATTGTTCCGTTAGAAGCCCAATTGTTAACCAATTGCATCATCCAGGGATTGGATAGAAAATGATGTTGTTAAGTGCCTTGGGTCAGTTCTGACTCAGGGTTATCTTCTATATAGTGGTTCCAAGGAGGAGCTGGTGAGTTCAAACTGCCGATCTTTTAGTTCAACCTAACCTTGTGGTCTAATGTTTCTCCTACAGTGCCACACCAGTACTATAGAATACAGAACCCTTAAAAATTATTCCTAGATGGAAATGCAGACAAATAATCTAATTTAAAGACAGAAAATGATAAAACTGCTGACTCAAATTATGTACAATAATGCTTAATAATTGTGACACCCGACTTACAAAAACTCTGCTAACAAATTCTGTCCTACTATGTGATACATCAGCCTTGGGTGATTGAATATATAACCTTACATTTGCAAATAAATTCTACATGGAATAATTTCAAGAAGTTTTGAAGTCAAGAACTTAGGATCACTAATTAACAGAGGGCAGTTGACATGAACTGACAGAGGGTATTTCTCCACATGTATTTACCTATGCTGCAAATAAAGCCATGAATATAGTAGAGCATACCATATTCTTTAGTGATAACTAAACACCTTGAAGGAGTGACAGGCTGGACTTGGGATCTAAGGACCGTAGTAGTCCCAGGAGACACCAAAGTCCACTGGTATAACACAGTCCGCAAAGACAATTTCCAAGATCCAACTTTGGTGAGTAGCGACTAGGGTTTTCAGTTAAAAAAAAAAAAAAAATTCAAGGCACTCTTCAATGAAGTCTGAAAATATAAAGGAAAGCTGAACTCACCTGCAGCAAATGACAGCTTTGCATGACAAAGCTAAGTCCAGGAAATTCTGTCGTACTCCAAAGGTTAAGGCATACTTGAGGGTCTTCCCATCAATTATAAGAGCAAAATCATTCTCCTTCCGAAGAGCATCACCAAGGGTGTTACAGTGCTGATTGAGAGTTTCCCTTGTGCCCTGTAAAATGAAACAAACAAAAATATACCCCAAGATTTATCCCTATTTCTTCTATTAAGATGATTTATGGAGATACTCAATAGCTACATTCATTTCTTTTTCACTCTTTGTTTCAAATTGCTTTCACATATCTCCATTCATTAGATCCTCAAGATGATTTCTTAAAAAGGATTGGATGAATGTTATCAGAAAAACAGTTATTCCCTTGAAGTCACACATCCGTTCCTGGCAGGGATGGGATGAGATTGTAAGTCACCCACCCATTCTTGTTATCTCCCGCCTTCTTAGCTTGTTATTCTAACCACACAACCACAAAACTGAAAACATTTTTTAGTACAATATTTAGATTAAAACAACAACAAAAAAGAAACAGACAAAAAAGCTCTAATTCACTAGCTAGTCAAAATTGCTTATCCCTGAATTAAGGGAAAAGCTGGAGAATATAAATTAAATAATTTATGGGTATTCTTTGAAAAGTATCCAGTGGTATTGGATTTTAATTCCTAGTAACTGAGATAGGAAATGCTGTATCTTCAATCTCTTGCCACTTCAGGCGCTGGCTTCTACACCTTTAATCACAATTTCATGATACTTTATTGAGGATAGTAACATGTAGCTTGGTAAACCTGGTGGATCAAATAAACAAACACACACCCCCGCTCCCACCAATGAAGAGTTCTTTCTAGCGCCATGTGTGTGCATGTGTGCACATACATCCCAAAACCCTTTAATGTCAAGGAAAACTTTGCTCATCTTGGCTATAAAGAGGGGATGTATTTGTCTCCCTCTGTTCAAGAATGCTTCTCCAGTTCTGCAAAGAGAAAGTTTCTAGATGGTTAGCTTTTCTCTCTAAATCCTGTAGATAATTTCTAGTGGGAAATAACTTCCTGCTTCACAAAAGCTCTAACACTGGTTGTGCACAAGGAAACAGATCAATTTCCCTCTGATTATTTTTCTGAAAGCCAATATCTGCAGTTATTTATAGAATAAACACAAAAATACATATTTATATGTTGCTGTTAAGTGCTGTCAAGTTGATTCTGACTCATAGCAACCCTGTATCCAGCGTTTCTGAGGAGTGGTCAGTGAGTTTGAACCGACAACCTTGTAGTTCAAACCAATCTGGTAGTCCAGTGCTTATCCTACAGCACCACACTAGGGCTCCCATATATTTAGAAACATAATTCTACATTCATACATCAAATATACCTATAATCCCCATACTATTTTACAGAATGCATTTTATTATATTCATAGGAAATATATTACTGTTCCAAGTTGAGAATGTGGCTGTCAAGTTGCAGCTTTACTTGTACAGAGAGGGAAGCAAAGGCATAGCTGATTAAATTTTTATATTGGAAATTGTTGAAGGTGTTTCTGCATTTTTATTCAAATGTGATTCTAAGTATGTTCTGGAATTTCAGAATCTGTTTATCAAAATAATAAAATATGCTACACTGTAAGTCAGATTGCCCAATTTCTCCTTGAGTGAAACTTTACTTAACGCTTCCCCTGTTCCCTGTTACACACCTAGTAGCACAAAGGACCAACATATAGCAGCATTCTTTGCTAAATTTTCGGTTCACACTTCACATGGGGGTGGGGGTGGTGTAGCTGTTCCAGTTTATAGGTCTCACCCTCCTATTTCCTGCTGAAAATTTTTGGCCCAAGATAAGTTACAAAAGGAGTTGAAAATTCTTTAAATTTTCTGTTGGTAAAATTCTGTAAGCAAAATTTACCAATGACAATGTATAATACCCTGAATTGTCTTAAAAGTAAATTTACATAGATCAATTGAATGAATCAACAAGTAAATCAGTGATCTGATGAAAACAACAACAGCAGGTTAACATTTAACATGTATTATACACGGCTAGGCTCTACTCAAGGGTTACATGTTAAAGCACATTTCAATGAACACTTGTTAAATCTTTATACAGAATCCTGGGTGGTGCAAAAGGTTAATGGCACAGAGACTAACTGAAAGGCTGGAGGTTCAATTCATCCAGGTGTGCCTGGAAGGAAGACCTGCGGACCAACTTCTAAACAATTCGCCCTTGAAAAGCCTATAAAGCATAGTTCTAGTGTGATGTGCCATGAGTAGGAGTGGATTTTAGGGCAACTGGTTATTGGAACAACCCAATGAAGGAGGCTCTTCTATCAGCCCCAGTGTACCAGTAAGAGAGATAAGACAGAGTTTAAACTCCTGGCTCAAGAATAAATGGCTACTAAGAAGTGACCACCACTCGTCTGTCAGTTTGTTGTACTGTTGTGGCTTGTGAGTTGCTGTGATTCTGAAAGCTATGCCTCTGGTATTTTAAATATCAGCAGGGTCATCCATGGTGGACAGGTTTCAGATGAGCTTCCAGATGAAGACAGATTAGGAAGAAGGAGTGACGACTCCTTCCAAACATTTAGTCACTGAAAACCTTATGGATAACAGAGAAACACTGCCAGATATAGTGCAGGAAAAGGAGCCCCTCAGGTTGGAAGGCACTCAAAATGCGACAAGGGAAGAGCTACCTCCTCAAAGTAGAGCTGACCATGATGATGCGAATGGCGTAAAGCCCATGGGAGAAAAGCCTGCAGGACCTTCATCTGCTGATGGGCACAACTCAGAATGAAGAGAAACAGTTGTAAACCTCCA